GGGTATGGAGAACCGGACAATAAAAAACAAAGATTGGAAAATTAATCAATGGGCTATGAGACAGAGGAGAAAAAGTGAGATGGGAGTTCTATTGAGTTAAGGGAAATTAATACCTTTAGAAAACAGTTGCAGGAAAGAAAAAATAAGAAAAAAGAAAAATAGAAAAGTACAGGAAATAAAAGTAAGACAAGAAAAATTTCAAAGAGAAAAGGAGAAAAAAAGACTCAGCTGCCCCCCTCAAAAAACCCAATGAAGGAAAAAAATAATAATAAATTTAAAAATTAAAAAAAAAGTGAGTCCAGCCAAGCATGGTGGTGCATGCCTGTAATCCCAGCACTGGGGAGGCTGAGGCAGGAGAATTGCTGTGAGTTCGAGACCAGTCTGGGCCACATAGTGAGACCCTGTCTCAAAAAACCAAACAATAAAAAAATTTAAAAAGTGAGTCCAAAAGCCTGTATATTTTTGAATGAGTGATCCCTTTCCAGGATCTACAGTCTTGGGATCCAGCTAGTCACGACTTTTCCCCCTAGCTTTAGGTCATTTTTGAGGTGCCCTCCCTGCACCAGAGGCCCCTCTGTCTGTTCAGGCCCAGCTCTGGCTCCTGTCCAAGCCAAGGTTGGTCCTTGCTCACACTGGTAGATGGGAAACACGATCAGCCCTCTGGTTTCTGCCGGAGGTGGTCCACACTGCGGGGGTTCACATGGACTGTTGGACTTAGTGTTGACCGTCGTGAGGTCTGGTGTCTCCCTACGAAGCACAGGCCCACTCGGGTCTGGGTCTGGTAGAGGCCTCCTGTGGTTGTCTCTCTCCTCGTCACAGTGGGGCCTGGTGACACTGGAGTGTCTCAAGTTGCTGGCCAGGTCCATACTTTCTCTGTGCGTCTGCTGGCTCTGGGGCTCCCCTCCCCTCCCCTCCCCCGGCACTGTCCAGAGCAGTTGGGTCGGTTACTCTGTACCTACACTGCTCTGCGCCAAGGGAAAGCAGAAAGTGCAGCTAGCCTGGCACTGGGGCATGGTCATGCCCTCGCCGCGCAGTGTGACCAGTGCAGGCCTCCTTGTCTGTTTGGTTTTTTTTTTTGTACCGGGGATCGAACTCGGGTCCTTGCACTTGCGAGGCAGGCGGCGAGGACTGCTGAGCTAAATCCTTGGCCCACCCCTGTATTTTTAACCACACATGACATTGAGGGCACTGGCCACCCTGTCTTACTTTCCTCACACTCAGTTAACAGGACTCTGCCCCTGTTTTCTGGCACTGGGCGAACCAGTGGTTTCCACCACTCATCAGGGAATTCTTGTGATTCTTTACTCTGTTGTAAATATCGAAAGGGTTAAAATGACTAGTCTTACTGAATAGTTCTTTTTGCTTTTGTTGACATTAGTATGCTATGATTCATTGTACTTCAGTTGCCTTAACAGTCAAACAAAAATTGAATTTGAGGTATGTTAAATTCTGTGTTTTTCAACACACCCCCAACAGAAGCTTCCTTTGGGGTCAAGAGTACAGAAAGAACTGTTATGCAATGTTTGCTTCTCTTTCTATTCAAGTATGAAATATGTAGAAATTCAGAGGGAACAGTCAGAACCCTTGGGAATCGAGTGTCTTAGGATAGAATACAAGACATTTTTATGCGGTTTTGTTTGCTTGTTTTTTAGTTATCCATTAAAATATGAGTTGAGCTCATGGGCTTAGGGTTGTAACAAAATTTAGATCAAAGCTGATGGAAATAGAAGCCATCCCAGAACCTGCCCTCCAGGGTCTGATGCCCAGCCCTGCTTGCTGGTTTAGAGTTCCTTGGACAGCTTCCTCCTTTTCTTCAGCCAAGGCACAAGCTGTTGTGTTAGGCTGAAATACTGCTTAGTCATGCTTTGAGATAGCCTTGGATCTCCTCCCCCTGCTTAAGTGGATTTAGATCACTGTGATGCCCTGTACTTTCCCCCCAGAGATTGCATCACATTTGTCCTGAGCACAGGGACCATGTCTAACTTACTCAGAGCTTTTTCCAGAGTACTAAGAACAGAGCACAAGGTAGGTGCCCAGTAAACAGTACATGCCAGTTAAATAAAAGGAGGGGTGACAGGCTGGTGGCTAGGAGTGCAGCTCAGAGGCAGAGCACTTGATGAGTACTTGATGAGGTCAGTGCTCAGGGATAAACCCTAAGCACCACAAAGAGGAAAACAGTCTGCATCGTGAAGTGCAGGCATATCCTTACTCTCACTATAACCCTTTAGGTAAATATTAACCCCGTTTACAGATATGGCAGACTGAGATCAGAGAAGTAACTTGCCCAAGGTCACTGAGCCAATAAGTGACACCGTAGAGACTGGAAAATTCTACCTCCATTCTCCTAGGGTTCTGATTGAGACTGAGAAAGCGACGCAGAATAATAAGAGAAAAGCATGATATAAGCTTCATGAGAAGGATCCCTCAAAAAGACACAGAGACCCAAAGAAATAGCATCAGTTAATTTATACTGAGCTGGACAGAGCAGTAAACTGAAAATGTCATATTAGGTGAGGATACACACACACACACGTGTATTTTGTTTGTTGTTGTTTGTGTTTGTTTTGGTGCCAGGGATCGAACTCAGGCCCTTGCACTAGCAAGGCAGGCAGCAGAACCACTGAGCCATTGAGCCACCTCCCCCCCAGGTGAGTATAATTAATAGGGTAGAGAAGTAGCTGTAAGGTAAGAGTTAGTTTAACAATACTTATATGATAATTGCATCTTCCACTTTGGAGAAAGAGAACAAAGGTCAAAACAAATTATACCTGCTGTTTTTTTGAGTAACTTTAACTCAGTATGCCAGAATAGTGTGCTTTAACCCTTTCAGAACAACAGAGACAATCTAGGTCACTTTAATGCCGGGGCCAGTGTTTCCTTTTGTCTCTTTTCTTTTCCTTGTGGCAGGCAGTTATCTCACTGAAAAGACACATGTCTCAGCATTGTATGATATTATCACCCATCAGAGAGATTTGATCAGAACCCCTCCATGGGCTAATAACGGGCTTGGTTGTGTGCTCTCTCAGCAACTGTTCCCGCCCCTTACTGCAGTCACAGGCCTTGTCTTCATCAGGAAAATACACACTTCCCTTCCCTGTTCTTAGTCCTGGCACTGCCCCTGTGTGTGCTCAGCCCCGGCGGAGGAAGCTCCGACCTAGTGACCCATCCCTACCATTTTGTAACTTGGTATCGTCAGCTGGGCCAAGTTTATGCTCATCGGGTCTTTAGCTGGAGTTTTTGTGCAAGTGGATTTATTCTTTCCAGGGCCTTGGGCCCTGGAGCATGAAGATTGCAGTGCCTTCAATTTGTTCATCTAGTAGGACAGAGAAGGAGGGCGGAGACAACCCTCTATATAAGTCTGGCTCCTGATAACATTTCCTGATAACATTCCTACTGAGCTGTGCCTGAGGCTTTCTGCCCTGTGCTTTTCATCGATTTGAGTCTGTAAAGCCCTGTCTCAGTTTAAGCCTGTTTGGACTGAGTTTTGTCCCTTGGACTCAGTGGAGTTCTGACCAACGTAGGCTATGAAAGGCGTTGGACACCTTTCCACCGCACCCCTTTTCTGTTGCCTTATATTGTCTGAAGACATTCCATGGGGCTTGGGGCAGCTGTGTGTTGTCTTGGCCTGAGAAAGGACGCTGTTAGAATATAACGAGGCAGCAATGCTTATCCAAGCAGATATCGTGACAGTGAACCTGGGCTTCCAAAACTTGCTCAGTAATTTGTAGAATAATTGTAAGAAACTTCATTTATTAATATCTCTTTCCTTAGTTTTCTTTTTTCTGTCAGAAGTGAGGGTGAAATCTGCCGCATCACTTAGGAGCCAATTAGTAAGAATGTACCTAGGGGGCTGGGGATGTAGCTCAGTGGTGCCACCACCTGTTTCTTAAGTGCAAGGACCCAAATTCGATCCCCGGTACCAAAAAAAAAATAAAAAAAAAAAATGAATGTACATAGTACTTTGGTATTATCTTCCAGTGTGATAACACTTCCCCAGGTACATCTGTGGCTTTCATTTCTCTCAACCACTAGATCTCCTTACCAGTAGTGAAGTGGGTAGACACAGGTGTTTCCTACTTTGGGAGGGGAAGGGAGATTCATGTTCCAGAGCTCAGGAGAACGTAAGAACCCGCTCTCGCTGTACCAGTAACTGTGTGTCCAAGAGGTAGAACCAAGAGCTTCCTCTCTTCTTGCTCTGTACATTACACAAATGAAATCTTGCACTAAAGCTTTCCACACCCCATCATGAACCCCCTTCCAGTACTGCTGTTTTGAAAATCTTAGCAGTTTTTAGACTTACCTAGCTGTAGAAAGAAAAGTCTGTAAGTTAAAATAACTTAATTTTTTAAAATAAAGGCGTGGTCCCTCAGAGACATTAAGAAAAATGAAACCAAGCTGGAAGAGATATAAACTATTTCATTTATTTTCATTCCTAAAATGAATGTGAATTTATTGGTTGGTTTGTTATTTAAGTGGTATTTTTGCAAAAATAATCTCAGAAAATATACTACGTTTGTTAAAATACATGCAAACTTGGTGAAGATCCTATTAAATCCTCTGACTAAACAACCTGTCACCTCTTTTCGAAGCACTTTTGACTTTTATGGTTTCCATAATTGCAAAGAACAAAGAAAACACTTTGGGACAAGAGTAGAATTTGATTTGAACAATCCAAAATGTACTTGCCTACTTCTTTACAGATTCATGGATTTTTAGGGGTTCTCACGTAACATACCTAATTGTACAAGCTTTTTTAATTATAAAGGCCCCTGTCCTTGCCTGTAATCTATTATAATTCAGTAAAGTATTGCTAGATAATTAGGAAAATGAACCCAAGAAACTTAACTCCCTCAAATGGTTCTATGGTATACTAGTATGTGTCAATATAGTCTTTATCTTGAGTATTAAGGACTGGAATGCAGGAAAACAAGCTGGTGGGACTCTGGAATGAAGGACATAAAGCTGAACAGAATGGCATGTGGCAGGTTGACACATTCATTCTAAAAGCCAAACAAGTGGCACCTAGAATGACAAATAGATTCAGATTTCTTTTTCAGAAAACTGGTGCTATTTAGACCTGGATTTTCAATTTGCCTGTATTTCTTTATTCAGCTTACGAATTATTAAGGTTTCTTCCCTGCTCCCTTTTCAAAGCCTTATTTGGAAGTGATATAACTGCTTTTTGGTACCACGCTCTGAAAGAGGTGAAGTTAAGGGCCGGGGATTTAGCTCAGCAGTTCCACTGCCTGCCTGGCAAGCACAAGGTCCTGAGCTTGATCCCGGTACCAAAAAAAAAAAAAAAAAAAAAAAAAAAAAAAAAAAGAAATTAAAATCTGATGGGTAACAACTTAAATAAGGTAATTGGGAAATTTTCCAAGTCACTGAACGAAGTAAGGTTTGGAGATAATGGTGGACTTCAATGAAGGGTCCATTTTTTCCTTTGAAGAGAGACTTCAAAGATTTTGTTGTCTGTTTTGATTTGGTTTGATTTGGATTCTTTGGAAAAGAAAAGGAAATAGCTAAATAGGCTATACCAGAAACCTTTAAGGATGAATTGGACTTCACCTAAAAGCAAGAGTTTCCCTTTTCCCACTTAGCGTGTTAAGCGTAAAGCTGCAGCTCCTCCCCACTGGTTCCCGGTTCCCTG